GTGAGGTTCTGGTTGTTGGCTTTGACAATGGGAGTCTCCCTGTGCTTAATGAAGAGGTGAAGCACCAAAGCTGTGAGGAAAGAAAAGAGGAGCGCAAAACCAACTAGTGTGATTCCCAAAGGTTCTTCAAATGAGAGGAAGGCAATATCTTTTGGAAGGCACAGATTCTTCTCCTTGTTGGGATAATGATCTTCTGGACATTCAAAACAGTCATCCATATCTGTGAAGGAAACATGCTTTATGAAACACAGTCACTCTTTGAATAACTTCTTTTAACTGAGTTGGAATCATGACATCTGAGAGGAATTGCCAGATGAACAGGAGTTATTCCATGGTTTGGATGAAGCATTTAAGGAAAGCTAGCCTTTCTGCACCAATCACATGCTTTGCTCTGCTTTCTTCCCTCAATATAATGAGAGCAACTGGCATCTTTATTTCTAATTGCATTTCTTTTCTTTTCTGTGTGGGGACATATGGAAACCAGAATATATCTTATTGTCTTTCTTTTTTTGCCTCAAATACAAATGCCATACACACAAAGCTGAATCTTATATTCTGCTGTCTCTCCCTGGCCACTTGGCCGGGCAGGCCATACATTCTTAGAATAGTTGGGAGCTACAAGCAAAAATATTTGTATAAATATTAAGGCCCATGTTTTGCAAGGAAATTTATCTATGGTATCTATTGATCTCTCTCTCTCTCTCTCTTCATCCATCCATCCATCCAGCCATCCAGCCATCCAGCCATCTATCCATCTATCTAGTGTAACATTCTTCCCATCAATTTTTTCCTCAGTCTCTAACTACAATCTCAATATTTGTACTATACTTTGAAAGATAAACATTGGAGGTTATTGTTAGTAATTTCATCTATTTATTTGTTTTTGAGTCTCTAAAGTCTTTTTGGCTTGCTGTGTAATGTGATTCTACTAAATAATTTCTGACCTTTAAATCTTTGTTTAGAATCTTCTTTTCAATCTTTGCAGTTGTAAATAATACTGCATAAGCATTATTTACAACTTATTTTAATTTGTTTAAAAAAAGCCCAGTAAGGGGTAAGTAAGAGGCCAGATGCCATTGGGGGACTGGTGGATCTTTGAAGTTAGATATCTTATTCTCAGGCAAATCAACAATCTCCATGTAACATAGGTTACCATTCTCGTTTGAAATCTTCCCTTCTGGACATGAATGGCAATCATAACAACAAAATGGTTTCCCCTCAATCTTGGTTTTACTATAACCAGAATGGCAGTTGTCGTTACACAGGGAAATGGGGCGAACCTGTGCAGAAATGGGAGAGATGAGAATGTATCATTATTTAGAAGATTCGCTTTGCAATTTGGGGGGTCTACCGTGGTGTGTTTTTTTTTTTTTTTTTGGTTCCTTTGAGTCAGTTCTGTTGGCAAGATTTCAGAAGTGGTTTGCCCTTGCCTTTGTCTTCCTAGGGCTGAGGGAGGGGGATTGGTGCACAGTCACCCAGCTGGCTTCATGCCCAAAGCAGGACTAGAACTCATGGTCTTCCGTTTGTAGCCTGATGTCTTAACCACTACACCAAACAGGTTCTCTTCTACCATGTGTTATAGGTTATAAATTGATGATGGCTTGGCACAGGTGTGTAAGTGTGACTCCAACAATTACAATAAAATGAAAATAACATTTAGAAAGGTCTTGGTTTCAGAAGCATTGGCGATTTCACCTGCCCACCTGTTCATTTGGAGGGAAATTCTCTCTTTGATACTACTGTTCCTCTCTAAATTTTGAGGCCTCAGAAAATAGTCTAATGAATCCTGCTATGAACATCACCTGGTTGAAATAGTTGGGCCATATAATGGTATCCTCAGAGATGGTGAATAGTTTCCCTGGGGAACTCGGTGATGCTACTCTTCCAACCTTTACTCTCTGGAAGGACTGATTAGGAAATGTGACCCAATTGATAATATCAAATCCAGCTATTAATTCTCCATTTGAACCAAAGGAGAAGGATTCTCCAACACTGTTGTTAAACGAGTTGCTTTCCAGATAGTGGTGAAGCTAAATTGGAACAGGAAGAAAAGTAGTAATTGTAAGAAGGACAAGAACTCCAGGAATAACAGTCCAATCATACTTTTAAGAGTTGTATCATTTTACATAAATAAAATGTGTTATTAACATATCATGTTAGGAGTTTACTCTGTTCCTTCTTGGATGTCTCCATTTAAGTTCTCATGTGCCTGGAGGATTTTTAGGGGGGTGACATATAACACCTTATATTTCATTAGCTCAATTAAATGGCTCTGGAAAACTACCTAAAAACAGAGATGTAATGAACGAGATGAGAACACAACACAATCTGATGGAAAGACTGACCCTTCACAAAATGATGAATTACATCAGTTCAAGGGACAATAACTTATTGATGCATCTAACATTAGATTTATATGCCAGTCATGGATTTTGCCATGACTTGGATCATTTGCAGCATGCTCCTATGTCTTTTGTAGGATTGTGGTTTCTGCCACTTCCCTTTTCCTCTCTGATCCTGAACCCATTTGAAGATACACTTGGGGGAAAGTTAATTTGGCCAGGGAATTATTTGTTTTTTGTTTTTTAGAAGAACCCTGCAAGGTGCGGGTTCCAATGGAAAGCTGTGAAATATATGCTGCTACATAATCAAAAGAAGAATAAGAAATGTCTGTCTGTTTAATTTGTGTGTGTGTTTATGGGTGTGTGATTGTGCCTTCAAGTCAGGTTGACTCCTGGTGACTGCTTGGACAGGTCCCTGCAGTTGTCTTGGCACGATTTTGGAATTGGTTTGCCATTGCCTGGTACCTAGGGTTGAGAGAGAGTGACCAGTACCTAACACAGGGCTGGAATTCGTGGTCTCGCTGTTTATAGCCTGGTGCATCAACCACTACACCAAACTGGATCTCATTTGTTTACTTGTTGTTGTTGTTTAGTCGTTAAGTCGTGTCCGACTCTTCGTGACCCCATGAACCATATTGCGCCAGGCCTTCCTGTCCTTCACTGCCTCCCTGAGTTTGCTCAGTTTCATGCTCAATTTGTTTACTACAAGTGTTTTTATGCCACTTCAGTCATCAAGACTTGAAGCTGCTCAGAGCAGTATTACTAATGAAAGTTGCCTCCAGTCAAGTCGCAGTTGAAATCCCAAATCTGTCATTCCACTTTATAGTCAGAGTTACGGTCTGGATGGTGGACAGATTTGGTATTAGTCAATGTAGTCTATAAGTTTTTTGCAGACCTGAATGGAGGAGGATGCTCCTCCTGGTCCTGTTGGACACCTTGACAGCCTGTGCTAATATTGATAATTTGTCCTTTGGGCCTGACGGTGAAAGCTGGGGATTGGAGGAACTGTTTTATGGAGGATTGGTTCCTTTTGTAATAAAAAGGAGGAAGGTTTGGTCCCATTTTCCATATGTTGTAGGTGCTACAAGGTTTTGTCCTCTCATCTCTAGTCTTTAAAATTTATATGAAGCTCCTAGAGGAGATTGTCAGTCTGGAGTGCAACATAATCAGTACCCTGATAATAGTCAGCAGCTTTACATTGCTGTAACAGCCTGGAGTGTATGTTTCAGTCGGGGAATATTGCTGTAGCTTGAGAAGAATTGGGGTTTCTTGTATTGATATTCATAAGAAGTTACCTTCCATGGTTGTCGATA